GTGTCGCGGCGTCTTTAAAAGTGTTAAAAGTTGATCATAAATCAATTTAGCGAAAATTAAGGCTATTAAAAAGTATTAAACGGCATTTTCCAAGGGTATATACATTTTGCTAGCTTGGTTAAACAACATCGCTTATGGGGATGCGGGAAGTGCAAGCTCTGCGCTCCAAATGGTTGGAAGATAGCGAGGGAAGGACCAATCAACACATGTATATAGTCAATTGTGGGAGGTAAAGTGTGTCGCCAAGGTAACCGGTTAAAACTCAAGAGTGCGCCGATGGATGGTCTTAAAATGGTAGGGAAAGGGTCTTAAAAGGTCTTACAATTTGACTTCAGGGATTCCTGCATTTTTTAGTTATCGTGTAAAGACTGTTAATTATACTCTAAGCCTAGTTGGTAACTCGACATTTGTTACCTGTGAAAAATAATTTCTTGCCTTAAAGATCACTAGCTTAAAAAGGTTGGTAAACGCCGTCTAAAATAGGAAATGTTCTCTTAGGCATCCAAAGCTACAAAAGATATATCTATTAGTTTTTGTCACAAAGTGCATCTGAGCCTGATTGGGCTTTTTTTTTCCTTTTCTTTAATAGCTTTATATCAATGAAAAAAAGTTTTATCTTAAATATAATGAAAAAATGCATATATGTTCTCCATCAAACACCAAAGTTCATAAAAGTTCATAAAAATTGAAAAAATAAAATGCGAAAATCTTAGTATTGTTTTATTTTTTGGGTTTTGGTTTGTGAAGCTCTTTTGTGTTATCTTGTATTAAAATTGATATAAATCTCAAGTTTTTTGAACACTCATCTGCCACCCAATGCATAAGGCAAGGACTGAAGGGTGTTTATTGGATCATTCAATTTTGTCAAATGCTTTCACTTGATAATAGTAAATTTACTATTTATTGAGCTTAGCGAGGCGGAAAGAGGTTTCACAGATTATACAAAACAAGTTAAATATACATTACAGAATGGCATTCCAAAACAAAACAAACCCTATTTTAGTCAACAGCACATATTGCAACCCACGGGTTGTATTGCACAGGTCAGGGCCTCCCCAGTGCTTACAGTGTGCACACGGCCCTGCGCGTGAGGAGCTTCTCCACTGTACCGCAGTGTCGTCCTGCCCCCCGCAGAAGAGAGCTGCAGTACTGCAAAGTGTGCGGAGGCAGCGAGGGGAGGGGGGGGGGGGGGAGGAGGTGAGGAGGAAAGGGAGGAGGGGGGTACCGCACTGTCGTTACGAGTCCAAGTGTAGAAAGGCAGGAGGAGAGACGCATTATTGCAGTACACACACAACCCAAACTACCGCACTTCACACAAGGCGCACGGAGAAAGCGAGAGAGAGGTAGGGGGTGACAGAAATCAACAGAAAGACAACTCATTTCACATGACTGGACTTTTTCCCCTTTCATCTTGAAATTGCCTGTTTTTGCCAGTAGCTTTTAGAAGAGGAAACTCAACCTCCAGCAGCCAATCAGCGCGTCCTCTCAGCATCAGGACCGGAGGAGCTGCATGCATCCCTGCAGGAATATAATAACCCTCCGCGGATCCCTCTCTCTTACATGGATTATCATTTAGAAGTACTTTTCTCCTGAGCTCGCATCGTTCCACTTCACTTCCTGCTCGCCCGTGCAGCCTCACAGTGAATTATCGCCCGGCCCTTTACGTGTCTCGGTATATTGCGGTACTTTGCTGACGACTTGCAGTATAAATGCATCGCTAGAAGATCACTGCGCAAAGACCCTCCGCCTGTTTACTGTCCGCGCGGCACTTTATTCGCTTCGCTAACTGAATTTCTCTGACTTTCGCTTGGAGCAGTGCCTAGAAATCCTTCTCTTGTTTTTTTCCCCTGTGATCTTTCCTGTTTTTTTCTTGCTTCTTATTTTCGGGTTGTACTTCAGAGCCTCCCTCTCCTCCTGTCTGTGAGTCAAACAGCTGCATAGAAGATGTGAGTATTAATGCGGCTTTTCTGCTGCGCTCTTTTCCCCATAGCATCATTACAAATACCTATTAAACATACTCTGTTTAATTATATAATATTCAAACCAGGTTATTTTCGTGTATGTTTTTCTCTGGTGGGGGGTTGGAAACTGAAGTGATTTCTTTCAGCTTGATGGATTTTGCTGACGCAAGTGAAATGTTCCGTCACACCAGCACTAAATTATGCATTCATGGGTGGACTGCTGCCACTGTGAAGCCTTAGGTGTAGTTACATTGACTTTTCTTTAAAGATAAAACAGAGATGTAACGATGAAATAAATGTGTTAGTCAGCATATTGTGGGTCAGAGGGTTTGAGGTCACCACCATCACCTGCTCATGTCAATGGATGAGGAAATGCATGTTTTGCCAAATCATTTTTAAGCCCTGCAGTAAATGTGATTTATCTTAAACTGTGTATCACTCATTGCTCAGTTTGAAACCCCATGAACCCCCTCCTCTGCCCCCACTCATTAAACCCTTTCCCCTTTTCCAAAATTGACTCTCCTGCTTTCCTTTTTTGGTCTGTAATCCATCACAGGAGCTTCCCCTTTCTCTCCCCTATCATAAAACCAGGACTTTCTCTTTCTTCTTCGGAGCCGTGGCCTATATTTCCTTTAATCCAATTGCATCTGCATTATCTGCATTCCTCCCCCTTATCCACTCCAATGCATACTAAGCAATTTCCTACTTTTTGCTACGTGGTGGCTTGATCCCTCCTCTATGACAAGAAAAAAAGGCCTATTTCCTCATTTCCTTCTTTACACGAGAATCTTATTTTCAGCACTTTCCGTATTGGATTAGAATAAATCTCTCATACATGCACCCATCCTCCGAACACCTCTTCACGTCAGTTCCTCTTCCTCGTTCCTTTTCCTCCCAGGTCTGCCCCAGATGCTGCCGCTCCAGGAGCCCCCGGGCCCGATGGGGCCCCCGGCGGAGGACCTCCCGCCCCCCCCAACACCTCCAGCAACCGCAGGCTACAGCAGACACAGACCCAAGTGGATGAGGTGAGCTGAACTAGGCCAGAGCTAGATGTTACATTCAATGCATCAAAATCAAAGCAGTTGAATCATGAAACATGGGGACTTACTGTTAACGTACCGCGCTTCTAAAATGATTTGTTGCTGTTCTTATTTTTTATATATTTGCCAAAAATAATTAGCAAATGGATGCAACGACTTATTAACCCTCATTTATTATATTTAGCGTCCTTCCTGCTCTCATAGTTTTACTTAGTCCTGCATATTTCTTTCATTATTACATCACTTGTACAAATGTACTTCCTTATTTCTTTGAAGTTTTAAGTATTTTGTATATTGTTAGAAGTGCCTGGGACTCTTATCCCCAACGACTACACTGTAGCTAATCGTGAATCGTGAAGCTTTTGTATAACCCCCCTTGTCATCACGTCTCTCCTCACCGCGGCCAAATGCTGTCTCACCCTCACATGGACTTACTGTTAATGCTTATACTCTACTAGGGACACACAATGAACTCTCATTTATGATATTTAGCGTCCTTCCTTCTATCTTACATGCACAAAGTTGACTTATCCTTGCACTTTTGTATCTATTGCACATACGTAGCGCTGTTTGATGTTTATTCCCAACGACTACGCTGCAGCTATAGGACAATAACACCTTTGATTCTTGAAGCTTTTCTTTAACCCCCCTTGTCATCCTCTCTCTCCCTTTCTTCTTCCCTAACCGCTGCCAAATGCTGTCTCATCCTCGCTGCTGGGGGCCAGGTGGTGGACATCATGCGCGTGAACGTGGACAAGGTTTTGGAAAGGGACCAGAAGCTCTCGGAGCTGGATGACAGAGCGGATGCTCTCCAAGCCGGGGCCTCCCAGTTTGAAAGCTGCGCAGCTAAGCTAAAGAACAAGTACTGGTGGAAGAACTGCAAGGTGGGCACTTAGCCGGCTCCATTAAATAAAACCTCTATTGATCCCTGTCGGGAAATGCAGGTGTCATAGCAGCAATCAGAGGGAAGGGAACACAGGATAGGGCAGGCTAGAGGACACATATGAAAGGAATACATAATGTAAGTATTAGTATGAACAATATAATGAGGTCATGTTTACATACAGATGATTATCAATATGATAAATATGTGTAACGTCTATGGGCGATTCCTTTTTACTGAATTCATTGTGAATCAGATCTGCATTTACAATAAGTACATATGTTATATATTTGGTGATATAAAGGGCTTTTTGTGAGAATTAGATCCTCAGCTCTTGTCTTTTAAAGCCGTCATGCTGAGAGTGCGCTGAGGCGAACACACAGGGTCTGCTCGGAGGACCCTGCTCTCCACACACTGATCTGTTAATGAGCTGCTGTGGAAACTGGAGCAGATGCTTCAGGGAACATGGGAAAACAATATTTTAGAGTTTCCACTACAGACTACAGTGCGTTCCATGTTCTGTTTTGTCGTTGCTTTTCTGCAGGCATTGCACTCAGACACAGTCTGTCTTAAATGTCCCTTAAGGGTTTAAAAAGTCACTTAAATCTTTGTTTCTCCTTCCAGATGATGATCATGATGGGGATCATTGGAGTCATTGTGGTTGGAATACTATTCTGTAAGTAGCATCTTCACTGTAATACAAATACTGCTTGATTTATTGATCGACAGATAGGATGACTTTTAGGGCTTTTATAAACAGATAAGAGTATTAAAAAAGCAGATTACCATGAAGTGTTTGTTATAAATTACTCTCAGCAACAGAGGAAGAATAATATTGAAAATGTTATTCTTTAAATGGCAATTACTCATTGTTGGATCCGTTGAGTTTTTATTTCATTATGTATAATTAGAATATGAATAATAATATGAATTATGACATTACTGTAAGAACAGTTAAGCTATTTATATAATCATTTTAAAAATCACTTTTTTTGTGAATGATCACTTTCATGCTCCCCCTGCAGAGGCTGTGACCGATGAGTTTAAAAAAATTGGGAAGGTCAACTGGAGCTTATTGTTAAACAAATCACGTTTTCGGCTATACTAAATTAGATTAGATATATTTTTTCATCCAATATTGGGAAACTGTTTTGTCACAGCAGCAGAAAGTAATCCGGTATTACACAATAAATATTATAATATACTACAGTATAGACATTGTTAAAGGGGCCCTAGTATGCTAATTAAGTACATATTTTCACCCTCTGTCTGAAACCAGAGCCCAGTCTGCTCTGATTGGTTAGCTGGCCGGCTCTGTTGTGATTGGGCAGCATTTTAGAGATGTCCCGCCTCTTAGTCTCTCGAACAATATGTTGGATTGGGATTCAGGCAAGGCGGGGGTTTTAGCCTTTGCAGACCATTTACATGCACTAAAACCTATAGGCAAGGGAACACCCCAAAAAGCATAGCAGGGCCTCTTTAATTGTACAGGGTCAGGGTTGCACGACCATTATTCTTGACAGTAAATAATGGTTATAATACAGGTGTGGCGGTTCTTTACTAAAAACAAACCTGTAAACACAACATAAGGAGAGCTCAGCTGTTCGCCTGTTCTGTTGAATGATGTATTGCCAGGTCCATTAGACTAATAACTTCCTCTCTCTTCCTCTTCCTCCTCCTCCTCACAGTGTACTTCTTCTACTGAGCTCAGCCCATCAATACAGATGGATATGGACTTGAGAACGATATGAGAGGAAAGAGCAGAAAAAAAAAAGATTCCCAAGCGCCACACCTCCCCTTTTATCCTTCCTCTCTTCACAGTCTTCCATCAAACCATCTTGCACTTATACGTGACGACAGTAGAGTTTATAGGTGTCCACCCCCCCTCCCTCTTTCCCTCCCTCTTTCCCTCCCTCTCTCTCTCCTTGTTGCTTTCTTCCACTGTTTTGGCGTCCTGTCTCTGCCCCTCATGTATTATTGAAGGACGCAGAAGGCGGAGGGAAAGAGGAAGAAGGGAAGGGAAGAAGGGAGGGAGAAAGTTCTTGTGACACACGAGGCTAAGTCCTGTAAAACATGGCTGTGAGAGGGGGGGTGTACCTATGAGAA